TTGTTGGAATTGTTGGAATTGTTGGAATTGTTGGAATTGTTGGAATTGTTGGAATTGTTGGAATTGTTGGAATTGTTGGAATTGTTGGAATTGTTATTTTAGAATTTGAGAGGAATAATTAAAACCTCACTGTCTAGGTGGCACTGCTTTAAGGCTTACGGCTGTTTCTCTTGACTTTGTTGCTGTGAACTGTATGTGCAGGGGTGTCTGCCTGAACTTGTCCTGCAATTATTCACAGATCTTAAAGGTAGCTGAGCTGCTTAAAGCTCAGAGCGGTGTTGTGTGTTAGTGTGGGGTAAGGGTTGATTGTTTAATACTTGATTCCATATTGATCTTCAATGAAGATAGCCTGAATAGATATCTGCCAGTAGACTATTGCAGTTTATTAAGTGTCATGAAATTATAGTACATGGGTTAACTTTTATTAAAAAAAAAAAAAAAACCTTCAAGTATAGCACATCTGGAAACAGTCATTAAAATCTGTTTTTGGGTGGTGTTTGCTTTCTGAAATAGGTGATTGGCTAGTTGTTACTTTGGCTGAGAATCAAAGTAGAACAAATCCTGTTATTCTTAGGTAGACTTCTGGGGTTCAAAATAAATAGCTACATTCATGGAAAGCTCTCCTTTATTGTTCTGCCCCGAGTAAGATATTTTGTACAGTTCTGAAATAGAATCACGACAAATGTCACCTTTCTGTTTTAGAGATGTCAGTAGATGTGGGGAAAGGATTGAATTATGGGAAAGGGACATGAAAACAAGCAGTAGCTATTCTTGTTGTCTATAGAAGACAACAACTATGTCTTCCACTACCAATGAAGCAAGTTTGAATGGACAAACTCAACGTGCCTGGCAAACCACAGTTTAATTCACAGTAAGCTGATCTGTATAGGCTACCAAGAGGCTGAAAATCTGTTACTTAAATTGTCAGAGCTAAATACAGTATCATGAAAATAGATAACTTGTATTTTCAGTGCTTCTACATCCTACCTTGAAATGGAAGCAGCTGACAAAAGAAATGGTTGCATACGATGAGGGAAAAAAGCTGCACTTACTGTAATGCTTTATTTCTCCTTTCAAGTGAAATCTCAGTTGAAGTGATCAAACTGATCAGCTTATTGTCTTAAATTGGTGGTAGCTGAGAAGGAGAAATTGTTATCCTTAATAGACTTTATCTGATTTTACAATTGCCTATAACAATATTTTCATTTTAGGTAAGCAAGTGAGAACCAAATTGTCCCAGGCTTTTAATCACTGGCTGAACGTTCCAGAAGATAAAATACAGGTATTCACTGATTATTTTTAGAAAGCTGTTATCTTTCTTGGAAGACTATAGATAAAGGATTTTTTAATAATAGTATAAATCATCAGAAATATTAAAAGCACTAATTGTTGAATAAGTTAAGCTTTCAGGAAAACAATTTTACTGTGAAGCTTTGACTTTGGTGTAACACTGAAAGATTGCTGTGGTTTCTCATGCAGAATAACTACTTCATTTGAAGTGCTCAGTCTGTTCAGCTGTTGATGATCGATTGCCATTGTAACCCACTCCTGCTAATGCTGAGCTATGATTTATAAAATAAGCCAGCTATCTTAAAATACCTGAATGTAGTATTGAAGTCCATTTCTTAAGACTTCATACAAAAATATCAAAGGCAACATTTATTATTCTGAGCCTTACTGTGGAATTCTGATCATAGTCTAGACTCCTTATTCCTAGATGAGAAGCATCAGAGCAGGATCTCTCCTTCCCTGTTCTCTTGGACATCCCTGTGCAAGATGCATGGCAGTGTATTTGCACATCATGACTTTGTGAAATGAAACAGTCTCCTCAAAGCTATAGTTCGGCTAAGCTGTTATCTCTAGAATACAGAAGATTCTCCATATCCAATACAATATAAAGAATAAAAATAGCCAAATGGGTGGTTTTGACAGTTTTATCCAGCTGGTCTTGTGTTAATTGCACTAATGCTTAAGCTGAGTTACCCCCTCAGTGTGYRTGAGGGAGACAATGTTAGGGTTGCYTGAGGGGCTYTTCAAGTGTAAAGTGATTYTAGCTATTTTAAGTAGTGGAAGAAGAGATTACATTTCCTTGATATTTATATTTTTAACTTAGGCCATAGATTCTTTTTGCCAAATTCTTTCATCTGGCTTCCTGTTAGCTAATGTAGCTATGTAACTAAGCAACAAGGTTAAAAGTAGCTATTTCCAAATATAACTTAAAATACACAATTTAGTGTATATACACTGTATATGGACTTATTCTAGTATCACAGAACCTTTGGAGATTATGCAAGATAACCTCTCACTTCAGGCTTCTCAGACTGAAGCTTTGAAGTTTCTGAAGATGATTTCACAGCCTTTCTGGGTACCTTTTCCAATGCTGAAAGCTTTTCATGGTGAAGATTTTTTCTGATGTCCATCTGGATTTGCCCTTTTGCTTAGCGCCTGTGAGAATGAAACTCAGGCATGTTGAACACTACAGTTAAAGCAGCAGTGCTTCTATGTGACTGGAAGCTTAGCAGTTTGGCCTGTCTCTCTAAATTGGTCATATTAGGAGTTTCTGAGAACTTGATCCTTGTTTATTTTTCTTTACAAATCAAATGGATACTGTAATGTTTCCTTTATTGTGGATATTGCTTGTGATGCAGCTCAATGCTTTCATTCTACAGGTTATCAGAAGAAAAAGTAAGACCCTATATCTTCTGCTGTTCAACTTGTCACAATTTTTATTTTTCATAATTGTACTAATCTCAATAACCTTAGGTTGTAAAAGTTTAGGGGACTACCTAGTCCCTTAAGTCATCTAGTCATCAGTTTAACGTATCTCAGCCTTCTTAGGACTTGTTCCAATGTTCTTACTATTTGATTCCATGGTTAGCAAAGTTCAGAATAGAAAGTTTCCTACGCCTAACTGTGCTGGAATAAGACTGATCACTAAATCCTCCATGAGTGGTGGTTCTTTTTTTTTCTTTTTTTTTTTTCTGTCTTTGTTCTGTCTTTAGCTTGCCTAAATAAACTATAATTGAAGCTACTGTTCCTTGGCAGTCAAGTCAGTTTTACTGTTGGCTGTCACAACGTCACAGTTTCCAGACAAGTGGTCTTTTTCACTTGCTGCATCTCTAGTGCTGCTGTTATACTGCACTGAGACACTTCACCTTGCTGAGTTAAAGAAAATCAGGTTTGTCAGGTTAACTTTCTTCTACCAAGTAACATGCTGAAATGAGAGCATAGGATCGAGCAAATTTCTAAGTTATTACAGGGAAGGTAAAAAGCTGTCTCAGAGCAGCCACTGATTAGATGGAGTGTAAGAAAGTATCATACACTGCACTGGTTCTTCAACTGTTATAAAGACCAGTCTTCCTGATTCCTCAGAAGGCTACTTGGTATCTCCTGAAGATCACAAGATAATTTAAATAGCCATGAGGTTAAACAGTCATGAMCTCATTTTAATGACACCCTAAGTGTCTAGAAGCTGCAAAATTTACTGCAGGAATAAAGTGAAATAAATTGACAAAATAACTGTAGTAGGCTTGTACAAAAAACAGCAGGATGAATGAAGAAAATAGAGACTCTTATTCTACTGATACAGACATAAGAGAGAGCGAGTATTCAGGCATTATTATGAAGTTGCATTTAAGTTGCGTTAGCCTTTATGATAATATCAATGAGCAGTAATTATTTTTTCACAGGTCACAAGGCCTCMCTCGCTAACTGATCAATGGCCATTAGTGCCGTTGGTACCTCTGTCATGTGCATCTCCAGCAAAACCTCAGTTGCTTCTCTTTTTTAACCTTTGGGACAGTAGTCACTTAACACTAAATGTGTCTTGCTACTTAAGAAAAGACTTGCAGCAGCCATGTCCCTCTACTTTCTACAGCATTAAGCAAAAAGGGCTGTGCTAGGTACTTGCCACTGTTTAAACGGTGATCTTAGTTTATTTTTTCAGAAGCAGTTGTTTAGATGACTCATTTGAGTGCAAAGCTTGAAGCTACCATAAATAATTACAGATTGGCTTCAAAGTTGCATGGATCAAGTGTGTTTTGCAGAGAGCTGGTGCAGTGTACAACTCCATATCTGTAATCTTGTTTCCATTTAAAAAGGTACTGAATATACCTGTTCCTTGAGTAAGGGCTGTACAATTAGATCATATGTTAAAACTATATATTGAGCTGTCCTATTTGAGAACAGCCCCAGGGTCAAGGTGCATTTTAAGCATCTCAGTCTTTGTTACTGGCTTGTCAGTAAAAAAGTRGGGGGGTTTAAGACCCTTTCCAAAGAAAATGTAGCAGTTGCAGTTTTGCCAAGAATTTTCCAGATCTTTCAAAGAGAAGTTTGGAGAAAGAAGAATGAAGTCTGTCTGCTTATCTAAACAAAGCCTATGTCAGATGTGTTTGTGGCTGATACCCAAAAACTGACTTTAGGAGATCCTAGGTTAGTGAAGCCAAACTTACGGCCATGCTGTGTCGCTGCTTTGCTTGTTCAACTTCTTTCTATGATCAGCAGTTCTAGCTTAGCTAGACAGTTAAGCTCGACAGTGTCCCATTTTAGAAGGATTGTAGCAACAATGAAAATAAGCCGATGAGTAGAAATAGGAGGAAGTTCAGTTCGAATTGGAAAACATTAAAAAAAACAAGCAGTGTCATGCAGGACTTGCAGCAAGCTGACTGGTGAAGAGAATCATAAATCGGTACTGACAGTGAGAAGAACAGTTGATGTAAATGGTATTGCCTATCGCTACAGCTTTCATACTTGAAAACCRTACCAATTTTAAATGTCTTGCAAAATTAGAGGTTAAGTTAGTGTGAGATTTAATTATTTTCTTTTCTCATAATAGGTTATCATTGAAGTGACAGAGATGTTGCACAATGCAAGCCTACTTGTGGATGATATTGAAGATAACTCCAAGCTCCGACGAGGCTTTCCAGTGGCACACAGTATCTATGGGATTCCATCAGTAATCAACTGTGCTAATTATGTTTATTTCCTTGGCTTAGAGAAGGTTTTAACCCTTGATCACCCAGATGCTGTTAAAGTTTTTACCCGTCAGCTACTGGAACTCCATCAAGGTCAAGGCCTGGATATTTACTGGAGAGATACTTACACATGTCCTACAGAAGATGAATATAAATCTATGGTACTCCAAAAGACAGGTGGTCTGTTTGGATTAGCTGTAGGCCTCATGCAGCTATTTTCAGACTACAAAAAAGACTTAAAACCACTACTTAACACACTTGGCCTGTTCTTCCAAATAAGGGATGACTATGCCAACCTGCACTCCAAAGAATATAGTGAAAACAAGAGTTTTTGTGAAGACTTAACTGAGGGCAAGTTCTCATTCCCAACTATTCATGCAATTTGGTCAAGACCTGAAAGTACTCAGGTGCAAAACATTTTACGTCAAAGGACAGAGAACATAGACATAAAAAAGTACTGTGTACATTATCTTGAAAATGTAGGTTCATTTGAGTACACTCGGAATACGCTGAAAGAGCTTGAATCTGAAGCCTATAAACAAATTGAAGCACTTGGGGGAAATCCTGAGCTTGTAGCACTAGTTGAATACTTGAGCAAAATGTTCAAAGAAGATGAAAACTAGTATTTATCTAACTCCTGGAGACAGATGGTTTAAAATTAGGAAGTGAACCCAACCGTTCTTAGATGTGAAAAGTGAGGTCAGTCTTATTTCTCTCATTGTTGCATTGTGGGAATTACCCGTGGAAACATTTTGTCAGCAAGTACTGAAATACATTCTGTTATCTCTGCAGCCTTAACTGTAACTGCTTATGGGTAGCTTTGTTAAAACAGATCTGCTCAAACGGAACCAAGTCTTGAATCTAAATGTGATCTCCTTTACACAATCACTGGCATATTTCAGCTCTGAACTGCCCACAGGTTATAGCACTTTAACAAGGCTATTCTAGGCTTGTGGCTGAAACTCCCCATTAAACTAAATCTGTCTGATCTAAGCGGCTTGTGTGTTTTTCAACAATGAGATGTAGTTTATTTACATGACTAACAAAAGGAAGTGCTTGTGATCTTACTGCCTGCATAAAACTTAGAACTGTGAAGAACAGATGGATCAGTCTCACTAAGTTCTAGTGGGAATATAGCATCCAGCTTCTGTGAATAGTTCCAGGGTATTCCAATTATAAAAATCCAACTGAAACAATTTTTTAGTTTGAAGGAGCTACATAAAGACTTCTAGGTATCTTGGGGAAGATCTATTATATCAACAAAGCATAAATTTGCCACTAATTAGTTCTGCTCTTAGATTGTATGGCTTCATATTTTTAAACTGAAATGTTTGTTACTTTCATAGCATAGGGTTTAAATCTATACCTGTGGATGATGCAGTGTACATAATTGCAGCTAACACAGTAAAATGCCACTAGGGATGGCAGTCATACTACCTAACTTTAAGGCAGTGTAATTGAAGCAAATCTTTTCCCTTTCCTTATAAGGGGGAGTACCCATAGTTGATTCATAATTGATAACTTTCCTGTTTTGAGTTGTTCTCTGGCTTCTCTACAAAGGGAGGGTCTCTAACTTTTGTCTGAAACAAGGTGGTGTACCTTGTTTGCAAGCTTTGCTACTACTTTGGTAGTGTTGCGTATTACTTAACAAGGAAGTACTCCAAACAGAGTTGGAACAGGGAATTGAGTTTCTGGTTTTAGAGTGGACCTGATTCAAAACCTCTCTTTATCTGGGGGAAGAAAAAAAGGAAATCTGTATATGGAGCTGAGTAGAACATAGGCCAAAAGGTTCTTTGTTTCTTTGTTTCTTCTTAGCTGCACTGACTTTAAGCAGTTCCTTTCCTTAGCCCCTTGAAATCTTGCTTGGRTATAGAAAAGGTAATGGCTGAGACCAGAGGTGGGGTTGGTGCTATTTCTGCTGATGTTTGCTTGCGTATGTTCATGAAAAAGTATCCAGAGGTGCTTGGAATCTGACAGCTGCTGGATAGTTTCATGTGCATATTCACTTASTGCACCTAGAGAATTGGGATAGTCACTTTTGCAGCCCAGTACAGAGTCTAATTGAGAAAGGTTTGTCTCTGAGCAAGCTCACCATTCTTCCAAAAGCAATTAACTACTGTAGAAGAATTCAGGATGATGCTTGTAGAGACATCATGTAATTCAATGAGAGACTGTCCCTTTTATCTGTTTGCCGAGAGAGATCTTTGTCTCCAAAATGAAATACAGTGATTGGGCTCAGAATAATAGTCTTTCAGTGAATGTACCTGGCTGCTGGTATTGAATGGCTTATAGTTGGCAAAAGCTGTATTTCCTTTAATGTTAATGATAGTGAATGATATTTCCTTTTTCTTAATCTACAGTGCTTAGTGATAAGCCTTAAATGTTTTCAAACTTGTCTAGAAAAATGTTCTCTGCAGCTGAGTACAATGTCTATTTTGTGTTATTTGATAACCTGTCTTGGGGATTTTTAACTACTATTGCAGCTGATGTTCAGTTGGGGAAAGAGTATATAAACTCTACTGTAAAACACATCCTTATGGCTACTAGAATATTCTCCCTGATACTCACAGTGCGCTTAGTGTCATTTCAGTTCTGCTCAGTTTTTTGTAAGCAGTTTTTTATAATTAAAGTTTTCTAAAGGGGTAGCTCTTTATACTTTTGCTTAAAGTTTCCCTGCCATTTGGGATTTGTGTTATATAATCACTTCTCTTGGTTTACTCTGACTTTTGGAGTAATACATCCCAGTATTTTTTTCAGTAATGTACTTGGTAGATCATGCCTCTGTTAACTTARGAGTAGACACATTGAAAGTTTTCCAGCTGCAGGTTCTGTAGTGCCCAAATAGGTAAGAAGGGAAAAGCATTCCTTGGAAACGGCAGCTGGACTAGCAGGAAACTCTCCAACCTGTGTTGCTAGTCCACCCTTAAGACTTTTGATATTGGCATTCAAAGCTTGTCCTGAAGGTGCATCTCAAAAAGCCCTGAAGGAGGATATTGGTGCTCTTCCCCTTTTGTTAGATGGAACCAAGATGTCAAWTTTTTCTTGATGTGTTCAAGAGTTTGGAGAGGCTGGCATATTTTCATTTGTTAATCAAGTAGAGCATCATTAAGGTATTAGGACTATATGATAGTCCATGGTCAAGGCAGATTTTATATTTGGTGCCAGAAGATGAGAGGATGTATCCATATCCATATTCTCCAGTGTTAGCCCTGGCACAGGTTCCTGTATGTGTCTGTGAAAGCACATTAGGAAAATGACTTAAAGTAACATGAGAGATCCTCATGACTGCAGCCCWCATGTAGTTGTGTAAGAGCTCATCTCTGTTCCCATACTGCCTCCAGTATAAGCAGTAGTGTTTTTCCCAGCCTTCACAGGAGATGCATTATTTTGGACTGAGTGAKCTGAAGTGGAAATGCCCGTAGGGAAGAACGGAGGTTCTGGTTTTAATGCCAGTACCTTTCATCCAGAGCTGTCCTCTTGCAGTCTTCAACCACTAGTAACAGTTCCTACGTTGATCAAGTTACATGTGTGTTTCTTAGGGTTTAGCTTTTGCTGCGAGTCTGYCTAGATAAATGTAGATACTCATTAGTCTCCATTTTCTTCTACCTCAAGCAGTTTTTTTCATGTGCTTGGATGTAAATGAGCGCTGTATTAAGAGTGGCCAACCATTGAATGGGACATCTCTGTGTCTTCAAAGGTTGTAATGAAAAATGCACCATTTCAGGACCTGCCTTAGGGGGTGGTTTGTTGTCTCATGCATCTCTCTGGACTCTGGCAGTGCATACTGCCACTAGCAACTAGGGTGATCCTTATGAGCAAGTTCCTGGCACAAATGGTGATTTTGGCATAGAGCCCTCGAACGGGCTCACGCCTGCTGAAGCTGCCTTGGCAGAGCTGCTGCTTGTAAGCTCAGCTTGTAGCAGTGGCCTCGTGGAGAAATGTTTCTGCTAATAGCTGCAGTGTGGCCACGGACTCTCCCTTTGAAGTACACTGCTCTGGAAATGCCTGGAGCTAATGTAACTCTTGGTAAAACAATTCTGTAATTGCTGTTTGTGTGAAAGACTCTTAAGACTTGCTTCTAGTTAGATACATGAGCGTTACTCTGTAAACTCTTTACTCGGAGACAGAAAAAAATCTTAGAAACAGTGCAGTTTGTCTGTATGATTATTTCCCCTCTCCTTTAGACGCTCTCAGGAATATCTTAAGGATTCTGCAGTTGTGTGTAAGACTGGCATTGTACCTGTGCCTGCTTGTGAAATGAAAAGGAGGCCAGGCATAAGCTTGCCAACACTGCAGAGGTGAAAGTTTCTCCAGGTAAGTAAAGCTTCCATATATTCATCATGTAGGTGTGTAGATGTATAGGTGTTGCCTACACATCTCCAATAATTTATTAACAAAACTTTTTCATATGGCTTCCTCTTAGTTTACTTGTTTCTGTCAATGTTTAATGTTCGTATCAGCACAATGTGTATTCTATAGCAAAGGAGTTGGCCACTTACATATTTGGTTTAGTGTAAAAAGAAAAAAAAAATCCAGTTCAGACTGTAAAAATGGTTCTTTTTTACACCAGCTTCTGAGCYGCATCTCACATTTCACTTCTGACTCCTAGTCAGTTAGTTATCCTCTTCTTTTTTTCCTCAGCCTCCTAACTTTTTCTTGTGAATAAACTTCATAGTCTGCAACTGACTAAAGATTCTGTAACATTTCATACATTTTTGGTGTTCACAGATTTAAATAACAAGACTTAAAGACCATGTAAAGCTGAAAACCAAAGTTGTCCCATTTCCATCTGAGAAGCCCTTTTTCTCTTCTTTCATATGCATGTGCCTGAGTTCGTGCTCTTAAGCCCATATGGTGTGTATAGATTGACTTATTGACTTACTCTGTTCTGCGGGTGCATATGGAGTGAATTCAGGTGAACTTCAGCCAAAAACTCACGATGCTGTGCTGCACCGGAGCTGGGAAGCTGTGGTGCTATGTGCAGCTCCTCCTGCCTTCACRCTTTAGCGGGGACTCTCGTTCCTCTTTCTGTGTAAGTAGCAGACACACAAACTTCAGAACTGTTAAGCTGTCGTTCATTAGAGAGTGAGTATTTTAAAATCTGCTTTTTAGTAGGTCTGCTTCTGTAGCAAGCAGGTATTTCTCTATTTGATTAAATAATAAAATGGTTTATTAATATTTTCSTATCAATCTGACACTTGGCATTTCTATATCCAATCCTTAGTTCTTGCAGTCAGGATAGAACCATAATCTTTCTGCTACTGAGTAGTGCTATCCCATATATAAATCTGTTTCTTTCTCTCAGCCCACCTCTAGAAACCTTATTATCGAGATGTAGTTTCTGGACAAAGCTTAATCTGCAAAGCAGATTTGAATTTATGTAAAACAGAGTGGGAGAAATGAGATGGCATGAGAAATTAATTTGAAAATGGGAGAGGTCAGGACCTGATAACTATCAAATCTGATACTTAATATTGCTAAGTGAGCCTGTAATTTGAGACGTGATAGTTATTACTAAACCGATTAGCAGCTGATATGTGCGGGCATGAGCTTTTAAAAGTTAGTGATGCAAAGCCTTGCAATTAGAATATTTGTTAAACTATATTCTGTCTCTTCTAAGTTCATTCTTAATGTTTACACACATCCTTAATTTTGTATATTTATCTTCCACAAACATAAAAAAAAAAAAAAAAAAAAAAAAACAAACTTGAATTAGGAGTGTGAAATAGACATCACTGTTTCTCAAACCATTCAGGTTAGTGGGAGAGAAGCAGTTAGTGTATGCCTTCTCCTGTATGGCTGACTTCACTAATAAATATCTAAATGCCTCTAGCTGCTAGGGAATTTCCTGTGCTAATGCCTTCTTTCTCAGGTACTGGTAAAATGCCAGCATTATGGTAGAGAACATAACTTTTTTTTTTGACCTTTTTATGTTAAACTGCTTAAATACATCTTTAGCACTGCTCTGAGCCAGGCTTTTCACACACAAGAAC